ATAGAAGAAAGCATCCAGGAATTGTGGAGCTAAACAAGTGACCTAAATTACATACAACTGAAGTGCTGGAATGAGAAGAGAGAGAAGAAATATTGAAGAGATGAGAGCTGAGAACTTTCCAAAAAAAAAAAACCAACAAAAATACAGATACCAGTAGCACCGAGAAACCCTAGCAGGGTATTAAACAACAAAAACACTTATTATAATCAGAAACTTAAAGTTAGAAAAGTTTGAAGGCAGCCAGAAAAAACACATAAAGAGAAACAAAAGTAATTACAGCACACTTCTTCTGAGAAACAATTCAAAATACTGGGGGGAAAAATAAACCCAGAGTTCTATATCCAGTGAATTACATTTCAAAAATAAAGCAAAAATAAACACCCTTTCAGAAAAATAAAAGCTGAGAATATATTGCTAGGAGACGTGATCTACAATAAATACTATAGGAAGTTCTACATCAGTAAAAGTTTGTCATTTTATGGAAATATGAATGGAATGGAGAAAACAGAAACTACAAAAATGAAAGTAAATATAAAAGACACTGTCTTATTTTACATCACTTTGTAAGATAACTGATTATGTGGGCAAAAGCACTAGCAACATAGTTTGAGATTGGTAAGATACATTAAGACAAAATGTATTTTTAAAACAGCACAAAAGATGGAAGATTTGAGATAATACTGTTTTAAATTTCATAAAGTTTATGCAGAGTGGTATAATCAATAAAACCAAAACAACAAACAAATATAACAAAACAGAAACAGACTTACAGATAAAGAGAACTAGTGGTTACCAGAGGGGAGAGGGGTTGGGGAGGGACAAAACAGATGTCGGGGATTAGGAGGTACAAACTATCAGTTATAAAGTAAACAAGTCACAAGAATGTAATGTACAGCACAGGGAATATAGTCAATAATTTATAATAATTTTATATAATTTGTAAAGTAAGACAACATTGAATCATTATGATGCAAAGCTGAAACTAATAATATTTTCAGTTGACTATGTAAATAATTTTTTTAAAAGTAGACTACGGTAAGTTAAAGATGTATTTCATTAACTCTAGAACAATTAATAAAAAAAGAAGATGTAACTGATTGAAAAAATTGTAACTGATAGAAAAAAATTGCAATAAATAATAATCTAAATGAAGGTAGAAAAAAGGGCAAAAATCACAAAGACTGCATGGGGCACAGAGAACATATCTAACAAAATGAAATACTTACATCAAACTACATAAATAATTACACTAAATATGAATGATTAAAGCACTGCAATTTAAGGCAGACTATCAAATTAAATTTTTAAAAGGCCAAATTATGGCATGTGGATAGGAAACCAACTTTAAACATAAACACATAGATAATTAAAATGTGAAATACTGGGGAAAAAATACACCCTGCAACATTAGTCAAAGCTAGCATGACTGGAACACCAGAAAAAATTGTATTTTAGAATAAGGAAATTGCTAAGGATATAGAGGAATATCAAGTAATTTTAAACTAGTCAGTTCATCAAGAAAACGAACAATCCTAAAAATGCATTGCCTACCAAGGACATTTCAAATTACACAAAGCAAGTATTAAGTAAAAGAAGAAACAGAAAAATATACAGGTATACTTGGAGACTTCTCACCTCTCCCTCAGGAATCAATTTAAGAAGAAGATAGAAAATCACTAAGGATTTTGAAGACCTGAGCTGTCAACTAGCTTGACCAAATTGAAATTTATAGCACTTCCTGCCCAACAACAGCACAGTACACTTTTTTTTTTCAAATGGACGTGGCAGATTGACCAAGACAGACCATATTCTGGGTTGTAAAACAAACATCAATAAAATTAAAGAACAGAAATCATAAAAAAAGTATGTTACTTTCACTACTAAAATGTAAAGTAGATATCAACCCTGAAATAAATCAGGAACAATTAGGTTTTTAGGACATGAAGATGGGTAGACATAAAAATTAACTACATTGGTTCTGAAAGTTACATTTAAAAATCTACTCTAATTATACAGCATATAATAAATGTGACTTGTCAAATTCCCAATTTCGGGAAGAGGTATTTGTTTGTGGTAGGGTCTAACATTAATACCTTTTTTTATATTCAGTATAGTGTGTGTATATATATATTTTATATTCAGTATACTTCACTGCCAATTTTTTTATGCTCCACTATCAAATTTCAGTAACAGTGAAAAAAAAAAGTCTCACATAATCTCACCTGCTTAGTTAAGTACAATTATTTTTTTTAACTTTTTATTGATTTATAATCATTTTACAATGTTGTGTCAAATTCCAGTGTTCAGCACAATTTTTCAGTCATTCATGGACATATACACACTCATTGAAGTACAATTATTTTAATAAGAATGACAGGCAAAAATAGCTTCTGTACTATATATATGCATATAAAGCAGATTTCCAGCAAACTAATAAATATCATGAATGAGTATACATAAATCTGTGTACTCATTAAAGATGACAAGAAATTCAATAAAAAAAGAAAGAAATTCAAAAATTTTTTTATCCCTTTTTATCTAATAGTTTGAAAACATTTTAAACATATCTTAACTCTAGCACTGGAAAATAATACTGAGATCTCAGAATTGTTACAGGTAATTGATCTGATATTTCAGCTTCAAGTGGCTACCATAATTATGAAACTCTGATACCCCTATTTTCTAAGAGAACAAATAAATACAACTCCCTTTCCTTAACTCTAAATCTTCTTTCTCAAGTCTTTAAAAATTATAGCGGGGGAAAAATTCCAATTATATATTCTTCTCCTAACTGAAATTGTTCTTTCATTGGCAGCTGGCGTTTTGGTTCTGAAGTTGTATAAATCCTCTTTGGACGTACGTATTCTGGAAATGGATTCTGCCTTGAGCACTATAATTCATCAGGAGGTAGGAAAACTTCTAAACGAATGTTCCTTCTGTCTCGCCTCACTCTGGGATTTTAGTTCTTTCTTTATCCATAATAATGAAAAGTTATATCACATTCTACGTCTGGACCATTTGATTGTTTTACATTGAAAGTGGTATATAATATGAAGCCGTACCGAACTACATCTTATGTGTTTATGCATTTTTAAAATCATTGTTTAAATATAAAAGGCCCAAATGCACTTTCTTTTCTTAAGTCTATCGAGAGTAGGTAGTAATTAACTTTAATAATCACCACACAATGCAGCCTTAAAAATACACCATACATTCCGTGAATAAAGACTAAGCAAATAAAAATAGCTTTAATACTTTTTTCTTTAAAGCCTTTCTATCGAGCATTACTTTCCCTTCCTGGATCAACAACGTGATGTTAACTCCCAAGCAGGGCTGGAGAGTGAGGGAGAGGAGGAGAGTCTTTGCCACTTGGAAGAAATCTATTCCCTGCTCTTCATGAAGTCTCAAGGGTCTTCAGATAATAAAGTTATTCAGTATCACTCAAAAGGGCTTTCTTTTCTGATCTTCATTTCTGGCTCAGGCAATCATTTCTAATTAAATACACTCCAAAAAATATAGATTTGGTAGTTGAAAGGGATTTAGTATCTAGTTCAGTCCCTACACATGACACAAGAATTGAAGGTCTTAAATATTCCTTAACACGCAAGTTAGTGTTTGAGATAGAACCATCTTATATTTCCTTTTTCACTTGGTATTATGTCATTGAAAATAATTGTGATTTTTAGAAGAGCCAATATCTTCTAATTTCTACTTTCATGTTTATTCTACCCCATGAAACTGAGGGATCTAGCTCCTTTAAACCTACCCATATCAGGGATTTTATTTATTTGCACTCAGTCTCCTTGAAAGTTTAAATGGGTGGCTCAGACAAATGTTGGGATGTTGCTATGGTCTGAATGTTTCGTCCTCCCCAAATTCATACACTGAAACCCTAATCCCCAAGATGGTGGTATCAGGAGGTGGGACCTGTGAGAGTAGATCCGGTCATGAGGAAAAAGCCCTCCCAACTGGGACTAGTGGCCTTACACAAGAGCCCCACAGAGCTCCCTGCCCTTTCTACCACGTGAGGACACCCTGGGAAGTGGGCAGCCTGCCACTCAGAAGGTCTTTGCCAGAACCCGAACCTGCTGACACCCGCATCTTGGTCTGTGAGAAAAAAAAAATCTGTTGTTTTTAAGCCACTGGGTCTGGAGTATTTTGTTGTAACAGCCGAAACAGATTAAGACAGATGCTTATAAAAGTAAAGTGGACAGAAAAGTAAAGAAGAAATATGAGCAGGAAAGCATAACTGAAACTACTGACACTGTGGTGGTTAGAAAACAAATCACATTAACAAAAAAGGAGGAAACAAGACAGTCAGCAAGATGCTGCCAGGAGTTATGCTTCTCACGATGCCTACATATGGCAGAGCCTGCTGGCTGCCCTCTTTCCCCTCACTTCTTGAAGGTGTCAATTTTTGGAGCTTAAAACTGAGAAGAGAAAAAACAGACTGTGAATTAAAACTCATATAGAAGTTGCCATTGCCACAGGGTAATTACACCTGAGATCCTGTGAGTTAACACAGTTTGTTCATTTAATGTACTTTCTGAAATTAATGTACTAAACATTGAAAAAATCACCTGTTCCCTTGATATTAAACCTAACTGTATCCTCAGGTTGGAAAGGTTTTTGTGAAATTTAGTAATGTATCAAATATTCTTATTCAAAATGCTGGTTCCTGGGAAGTGATAGTTACTGAATCTTATTTAAGTAAGAAGGCCTATGAAAATTTCTCCATTTTAATGGTATATAGACATATTACATGTGCCAGATGCCCAGGTGAAGGCCTTATACAAGCATCTTATTTAACCCTTACAACAACACTACGGTATGGCAGCATTACACAGGAAAAGAAACCAACACTTAGAGAAGTTAATAACTAACACAGAGCAAAACTAGAATGTGAACCAGGGGTTCTGATCATGGGGTCTGTGTGCTTAATTATCATGTTCCTTTGTTCCACGTACGAGGAAACTAAGTAGGAAGAGCGAAATGACTTGTTTGTGCTCGTGTAGTAAATTAGAGATGATGTAATGTTAAAATGAAGACTACAAACCCCATCATTCTACCAAACTAGATGGAAATCCAGGTGTTACTAGAACAAAGTTCTCATAAGAAGCTTGAATGGGGAATGTTCCCTGTCCAGGTTTCCTCATGTTGTTTGCAGACCTCCTCTCCTTGTGACTCTAGGACTGAAGTCTCCATTTTCTTGTTGGCTATCATCTGGGGGCTCTCAGTCCCTAAAGGCTGACCAAAGTCCTGTTACCTAGTCCTATCCACAGTCAGTAAAAAGCAAGGGCTTTCAGTCATACAGATACAAGAAAACGAATTCTGCCAACAACGTGAATGCCCTTTGAAGTGGATCATTGCCTAGTGGAGTCTCTGGATAAGCAAGCAGCCTGACTGAAGAACTGATTGTAGCCTTGTGATCCCCTGAGTAGAGGACCCAGGTAAGTCATACCCACCATCCATCCCTACTGTGCTGGCCCTTCCACCTGAGTAGAGTAGACTCCATGAATGAGGCACAAGGTTGTCAGCAGACGGCAAGAAACTGGCCCCTTTAAAAACAAAAAAGACAAGAAACTGGCCCCCATGCCATGGAGACAGGAAGAGACACCAGTGGATAGACACCAGAGGGTCTAGGAGCGAGCGTGGGATGGAAGTTTAAGGTCCGCAATTCTGACCCACAGAAACCATGAGATGATAAATGTGTGTTGTCTTAAACTTCTAAGTTGTGTTAAATTATTACACAACAATAGAAAATCAGTATAGATTTTTGGTACCACAAGTAGGTGATAATGTAACAAATAACTAAAATGTGGTAGTGCTTCTGGAACCAGGAAGTGGGAGGAAACGAAGAATTCTGATGAGCACAGAAGAGCCTACAAAGCTTGAGCAGATTGCTGGTAGAAATATGGGTGTCAAGGTTGCTGTCACTTATGTCTCAGAAGGAAGGGAGGAGCAGGCTATTAGAAAACTGAGGAACGGGGACCCTAGTCATAAAGAAGCAGAAAACTTAGTGAAATTGTCTCCTTCAGTTATATATAAAATATCTTGGAGAACATGGGAGTAGATCTTTCCCCAGTCAAGCCCCTGATGAGACTGAAGCCCTAGCTGACAACTGGATTGCAGCTTGTACCCTAAAGCTGAGAAACTAGCTAAACTGTTATGTCCAGACTCCTTTCCTATAGTAACTGTCGGATAATAAGCATATGCTGCTCAAAGCTACTAAGTTTATGTAAATTCGTTATACAGCATAGAAAATTAGTAGCGTCATGTAATATGATTCAGGCACATTGTGGGAAAGTGAAATTTGAATGTCCTATGATATCTTTGTGCTATAATCACAGTAATTATTAATGAGAACTATCTACAATGTTATGGCTTGATTAATTAGGCAGAAATAAATTTGAAACATAGAAAGAACAGTATTTTTTTAAAATGTATGGTAACAGAATTTAGTTCAAGAAAATACTTAGCTATTTTCTTGCAAAGTTTACATGCATTTAAAGAATCATTAAAAATCTTACCCAATATTTCCATGAAATGAGTTGGTACAAAGGAGAGTTTCAGTGAACTCAAGACCATACTTGATTTAATAGCAGAGCAGGGTCTTGACCTAAGTCTCCTGACTCATGGATCAGCCGGTATTTGACTACATTACACTGGTTTTTTGTGTAGTCATCTGTTTACTCATCTGATTTCTCAACAAAATAAATGCTGATTAGGTGACATTCTAAATCATTTTCTAGATATTATGGAAAATATAATAATCAAGCATGTGTGCTATCAACAACACACATAATAGTACAAAACAGGATATGAAGTGTTTCATAGGAGAGATACGGATAAAGATGAATTGGGATGTAACGAAAAAGAGTATGTTTACTTTGGAAGAAATGGCCACTAAGAAAAGACTTTAAGAATGATGTAGCATTCTACCAAACTTTGAAGGACTAATAAATTTAGAATTGATGACTTCAGAGTAAATGTTAGGATAAAATACTCCTCTCTCAGGAGGATTTTATATAAGATGGTTTGTTCTGCATCAAGTAGACAACTCAGTTTTCTCAGACTTTGGTCTTATCAGATTCATCCATATACATCTTAAAAAAATTATTTCTCTTGGGAGCAGTGTTTACATATGTGCGTATATGTGTGTGTGCGTGTGTGTGTGTTGAGGGTGGTGTGATTGATTTTCTTCCAAATACTTGTGCCACAGGCCAATAGTCCAAATCTTTCAACAGCAATTCCCCTGGACCTCCTGTTTTAGGACAGCACTTCTCAATCTTAATCTGCATACAGATGGCTGGGGATCTTGTTTAAACGCAGATGATGTATCAGCAAATCTAGAATGAGACCTGAGATTCTGCATTTCTGGAGCAGGATTCAACTACTCTGAGCTGCTCTGATTTTAATTTATATTCCTTAACCTCACAAGGACAGGATTCTACCGATGAGATTTACCTACTCAGGTTACTTTTCTCTATAAAGCAACTTTGCCAACTCTCAACAAACCCTCCAGTGGGCTAGGATTCATCTGAATGGAACAGCCCATGAGCAAAATGGGGCCCTAGGAAAGCTCCCTGGGTTTTAACTGGTATGTGACATTATCCAAAATCTATTGGTTGTTAGTTTTCTTGTTAAAAAAATATTAAAAAAATTAATCCATCTACTTCAATCCATGGGATTCTCCATTAGATGTTTTCCAAAATACATACTATTGATTTGTCCCCCATATTTAATTTTGCTACTATTAGAGTTACATTTAAATGTAACTTTTAAATTGTATATTTAACTGAGAGAAAAGAGTGAATTTCTTTTAAGCAAACAACAAACTGACCTATGATGCTGACAAAAAAAAAAAATCATCTCACTGAAAGCATTTTCATGAAAAAGTAGTCCAGATTTTAAAGACAGACAATAGAGAGCAGATATTAACAACGTGGGATTTGGAGCTAGACAGATCTGCATTTTACTTCTGACTGGAAATTAACTGTGTGATCTTGGGCCATTTGCTTATCTCTTAGTGACTAGGTTTCCACAAATGTAAACAGAATGTGGATACTGATATCCCTAACAAACGAGCTTGTGCTGAACTCTGCACATTGTAAAACCGTTAGTACATTGCACCATGTGCATAACAGGTATGACTGTTCTTAAAGTGGAAGAAACCCAAAAGTAAATATTGTCCCTGATCCTTCACTCATTTATAAACAAAGAAAAATATTTGGAGTTTCTCACTAGAGAGGTACAGAGATGAACAGTCCAGAACCCTCTCCCCACAAAACCTTTCATAACCTTCTCAAGTAGCAGAACCCTATAGTACATTTCCTATTTCACTTGGGATGATGTCTTTGAAAAGAACTGTCATTTTCTTTCAATATAAAAGCTGAGAGCTAAGTTTATTTTCCAAAATTGTAAAATAAAACCAAAGTTAAATTCATTTTTTTCTGAAATTTTGTCTAGAATAGTCATATCTTACAGTTTCTATATAAATAATGTTCTTTCCATTATAACATTTTGTGTAAAACAATCCAAATTATAGGATAATTCTTGCTTTAAGTAACGCATTAACACTAGAAATATAACAATTGTAAATGGTGAAGAATGCATTAAAAAGAAACTGGATTTAATTGCATCCTTGGGACCTGCTTTGTTGTGCCTGGAGCTGGGTTTTCATATGAAAAACAAAAGTCAAGGTCTGCGATATACTTTTCAGTTGCCACTGAAATTGTAGAGTGATTCTGTGGCTAGCCTTCAACCACTAAATAATGTTTAAAGGTGAAAAGGCTTTGAAATGTATTTTTCTAAAACTCTGAGATTTTACCCTGCAACAGTGGTACAAAATTTTTTGGGGGGCTCCTGTTTTTGTTTTCCCTGCAACCCTCCCACTCCCACACTCCACATCACTTAGGGAGGATATCAAATAATATTTCTAAGCAGGAGTCATAGAAATGTTGGCCTTTCCAAATTAGTTTAAAATTAGGACTATAAAGAGACTAAAAACACAGTACATGGAACTTCAGTAGTGCATAAAAAGGATTTGTGTTGATGTGGAGAAGAATGTATCACTCAAAATATGCCTCTTTAGTATAAAGATTATTTTAGGCTAATTATTTGTAAGAAAAAGTAGACACTGGAGAAGCTCTAAAGTTACCCTTTTGTAAAAGACAGTTACATTTATAAGGGAAAATCTTGATTTGTAAAAGTGTCTCCCTCTCTGAACCAGGAATAGAAGGATGACTCTTAATCTCTAGAAACTCTTGTCAATAGAGGAGGCAAAGACTGAAATCTGCAAAATAGCCTTACCCTTGTTCACTGTGCTTTTTCTGTGAACTTCCCATATGTGGCCTTTGCACTCCCTTCCCACCATCTTTTATTACTTTTTCTGTCTTTAACTTGAGATGTATTGAAGATGGTGGCTTGGGCCATCTTGGAGAGTTACTCTGGTTTCTGGGTATCTCCTACATATATAGGAGGTATCCATGTTATTAAACTTCTGTCTTTCTCCTATTAATTTGTCTTTTATTACAGGTAGGTTCAGGCAAGATACTAAAGGGGAAAGAAAAAATTATTTTTCCTCTCCCAACAGTGTACAGATAGGTCAATACAGCCAGACAACAAAGAAGTCTACAGCATTAATGTGGCATTTTTCTCCTGAAAGCCTGAGGTGTTCTCTAATAATCAACTAATACTCAATAAACTACTTTCAGTAATAAAGGCAAAAGTGTTACTCTGCCATAAGTTATGGAAACAAGATTCTGAGACATTAAGCATATTGTCCCAGGTGACAGTAAACCAAAGGAAAAAAAGAGGTGAAAGCAGATCCTAACTGAACACTTGGTCCACTGGAGTCTAAACCTTTGACCTGTGCACACCATGCTTCAAATTGTATTCATGGGGGAAATAAGACTAATGGGTACCAGCTTTAAATCTTTCAGAAAAATAATATCCCACGTCACATTACCTGATGAGTAATAACGATTTTCCAAAACTTGCCCCAGAATTTATGATTCCTGGGGAAACGAAGAAGAGGTGCTTTTAATCAATCAGTTCATAAGACAGAAAAAGCAATAATGAACAATTCTCTTTGACAGATATATATTCAGCTTTTCCTTTTGTAAAAGGCACTGTGCAAGGCACTGCCAGGAATGCATTATTGTCACTATACTAGGGGAATTTTACAGTGGAACATTGGCACTGCCTTGATCAGCATGGCCTTAAGGATCTTACTCTTCCCCTCAGCTCCACTAAATGTTAGACAAGTTTCATTCTGACTGTCGGCAGCTGATCTCCCTTTCCTTAGAGCATTTATGTAAGAAGTCTGGAATTGCCAATTCTTTCTGTGCCTCTTTGAAATGTAGATAAATCTTTTCTGAGCTGCTTGTCAATTTTACAATCTAGGAATATTTGTTTCAAAGACCATGAAACCATCCCTTTGAAATGT